GCATCTCACAATGTAGAGAGCAAAGATTTATGCTGCTCAAGTCTTCCTCCAGAAGAAAATTGAGATCATCCCGAAGGCCTGTACCCCTGAAAAAGAGCAAAAATACACACTCAGTGGCTTACGTTGAACCTGGAAATTTCCATTATTTTATATTTACCAGTCAGTTGTGCTCACAACACCCTCACCTTCCAATGTTAGCTTTTGATCTTAAACAATCCAGGCATGTCTCATCCACAGCAACTCCATGGCAAGTGCAAGCCTAAAATAAAGTTATGGACAATAGAAATATTGACCTCATTTAGAATGCTGGAAAAAACATAAAATTTTTCCACAAAGAGCTAAAGAGCTACTAGATAATGATATCTATTTTCCTTGTCTTAACATTCAGTGTTTACTAGGATTACAAAAATAAAAGTATTTTATTGATGATAATAGTACTAATTTATAACTGACATGATTGATACAGATAGTCACTGAACCCTATACTAAAATGCAGTTTACAATTCAAGTAAGTGTTAATTAATGCAGTTACCATCAAACTACATGTAAATATATAAAACCTTACCCTTATTGCATCACAAAATGCACAACACTGCACTCCATAGCCCTTGCCACCAAGGAGGAAATCCTCATCGTCTTTTTTGTTTAGGAGAAGCAGCAAAGCCTTGTAGTCCAGAGTCACTTAAGGTCGTATAAGGGGAAACAATTCATAACACATGCTAATGAGGCAAAACAATATCCAAGGACCATTTCACATACTGTATAAGTTTGTCCAATTTCCTTATGAACCAGTGGTATTAATGTTGATATAACCCTATTTAATGGCAGGATTGTTATGATATTTAGAACAACAGCAAAATGTTACTAAAGGTACTGAACAGTGCCATAAATATTAAGGTAATTATCAAACAATATTTGCCATCGCTTTTTTTGCACAATTAATTGATCCCTGTAAAAAATTATGAGATAGCTTTAACTTAGTTTTTCTCCCAAATAAACACAAATAATGTCCCATTAAATAAATAACAGCATTTCAAAATTCATTCCCTTTCTCATCAGTCTGGTTTAAATCACTATTTACATGTACCTGTGAAAGAGATGTTGTACTTTTTTCCATCCACAACAATGCCATGTTTTTTTATCACATTCTTCTGGCAATTAAGATTTCTAATCAATTGCTTTAGATTTGCCCTAATATAAGAATAGGGACAAAAATAAAAAATGTTAAACGTCACCTTAATTGAAAGAAGGTAATAAACAGAAAAAAATGTATTCATCACAAAATTCAACTAAAGCTGCTCATGAAAGAAAGGGAACTCTTTTTATCTAGAGTTTCTACTACATCTTAAATAACTGACTGAGAAATACATGTATAAATGTTTCTTTTCTTTACAGCAACATCTCATTGCCTACTTTCTTATCCAAATGCAAAAAATTGTTCATGATTGCACAATCAGTAGTCACTGACCTATTCTCTTTACAATTCCCTATAGCAATAGGGTAGACTGACAAGGCGCTCTCAGAACTTTTATTGGCAAAGTCAATGGGGGCCAGACCAACAGCCACTTGATTTTTCCCTTGAAAACAAAATACCAAAAATAAATAGTTTTATTACCAACTATCCATAACATATTATTATTAACCCATAGAATGACACAATCTTATCAAAAATACTGCAGTAGATACTGTTAGG